TTAGAAGGCCAGATACTGAAGATGAAACTCAAATACTTTAGCCACCTCATCCTCTGCCGTCCCCTTCTTCTTTTGCCATCTATTGTTCCCAGCATCAGGCTCTTCTCCAGCGAGTCCTTCCTTCTCATTAGGTGGCCAAAGTATTTGAGTTTCATCTTCAGTATCTGGCCTTCTAAAGAGCAGTCAGGGTTGATCTCCTCTAGGATTGACTGATTTGATGGCCTTGCAGTCCAAGGGATTCGCAGGAGTCTCCTCCAGCACCACAATTCAAAGGCCTCAATTCTTCGGCGCTCAGCCTTCCTTATGATCCAACTTTCACAGCCATACATTGCAACTGGGAAAACCATAGCCTTGACTATACGCACTTTTGTTGGCAGGGTGATGTCTCTGCTTTTTAGTATGCTGTCCAGATTTGCCATAGCTTTCCTCCCAAGGAGCAAGCGTCTTTGAAATTCTTGGCTGCAGTCTCTGTCTGCGGTGATCTTGGAGCCCAGGAAAATAAAATCTGTCACTACCCCCATTTCTTCCCCATCTATTTGCCAGGAAGTGAGAGGGCCGGATGCCATAATCTTAGTTTTCTTAATGTTGACTTTCAAGCCAACTTTTGCGCTTTCCTCCTTCACCCGCATCAAGAGGCTCTTTAGTTCCTCTTCACTTTCTGCCATTAGAGTGGTATCATCTGAATATCTGAGGCTGTTGATATTTCTCCCAACTTGTGATTCATCTAGCCCTGCCTTGATGTGCTTTGCATATCAGTTAAATAAGCAGGGTGGCAGTATACAGCCGAAATCCTTTCTCAATTTTGAACCAATCAGTGGTTCCGTGTCCAGTTCTCACTGTTGCTTCTTGACCCGCATATAGGTTTCTCAAGAGACAAATAAGATGGTCTGGTACTCCCATCTCTTTAAGAACTTGCCACAATTTGTTGTGATCCGCACAATCAAAGGCTTAGTCAATGAAGCATAAGTAGATGTTTTTCTGGAACTCCGTAGCTTTCTCCATGATCCAGCGTATGTTGGCAATTTGATCTCTAGTTCCTCTGCCTCTTCGAAACCCTGCCTGTACTTCTGGTAGTTCTTGGTCCACACTAGCTTGTAGGATTTTGAGCATAACTTTGCTAGCATGTGAAATGAGTGCAATGGTGCAGTAGTTTGAACATTCTTTGGCATTGCCCTTCTTTGGGATCGGAATGTAAACTGACCTTTTCTAATCCTGCGGCCACTGTTGAGTTTTCCAAGTTTGCTGGCATATTGAGTGTAGCACTTTTACTGCATTGTCTTTTAAGATTTTGAATAGCTCAGCTGGAATACTGTCACCTCCACTAGCTTTGTTGTTGCTCAGACTTCCTAAGGCCCATTTGACTTCACATTCCAGGATGTCTGGTTCGAGGTCAGTGACCACTCTAGCTTCAATTTTAGATGTTGTTGTAAGCCACTTTGTGCATGGCTTCTGTTTTTGAATAAATGATCACACTAGTGCAGCTTTCCCCGGTCTGGTGCCTTCCAGACGTCTTGGACTGGAACTCCCATCATTCCCAGTCAGCAAGGCTTATGATGGGAGTTGAAGTTCAATTTGACTGCATGGCAAATTGGGGAAGGCCGCTTTAGTGACTTATAGGGTAAAACCAGAGTTCTTCCTCTGCACACATGCAAACAATCCATTCTATTCATTCTATGCACTTGTGGTCTAACAGGCAACAAAGAGGTCACTCCAGCCAAATGCCTTCCTTACTGTTACTTCACACATTTGTTTGAAATATCACCATGAGTTACTAAATTATGGATGTTAGCAGAGATACCCACACTTGCAAAAAGTTAAAAATGCATGTGATGCTATGTCCTGAACAATGCTCTGGTTTAAATAAAATATGGTATTGAGCATTCACTTGCGGATGTTTTGATGACAAAAGGCATGCTTTAAAGGGGTCTGAACTTGTTCTCTGAAACCTGTGTCCATGATGCTGTGAATGTATACACTCCCAGCCAATGAGAGGCCACACTGTGAGTGCTCTGTCATAGTGGCTCGATGATGCCAGCATTGGGGGCAAACGAGGAAGTGTCAGCATTATGTAGGAAAATGCCTGTAGACCTCCCAAGGAAGACAACTCCAAAAAGGGCACTCCTGACAGCAGCCTTGCTTGTGGGCCAAGGTAGGTGAAAAGGCACTCAGCTTCCTCCATGTAAGTGTATTTTTAACTACAGTACAAGTGAAATATCTTGCATTATACTCCCTCAATGCTCCCCAAGCTGTCTTGGCCGACAAAACCTATAAGGAGAATCCAGTGTGGACTCACAACCTCTCCAGCCCATATCAAGCTATCTGTGTGTGTTTCTCCCAGAGACTGGGGACATCTTCTACTGCTAGGCCACCCTTCAGATAGTTTACAGCCACATCTTTAAATTCTACCCATTGCTATAACATGCCAGTAGTGCATATGTCTGGCTGAAAATGGGCGGGAGCAGCTGGGGGTCTGGTGACTGAGGCTCTTCTCTTCTGCTGCCATGCACTGTGAGACTGATATTTATTTAATTTACCCTGCATCATATTGCACAGACTCTGGGCTGTTTACATTTTAAAAGTTCTCTTGCTTCACATGCATTCCCCAGTTGCATACAATTCCCCATGTCCCACTTTAATCTTCTTTGGCTTTAGGATACATTTTCTGCAATACAGATATATTTGCAAACATAGTGAAAGCTACACATCCAAAATGATATCCTTTTCCCATATCATCCCCCTCATGGGAGCCCCTCTTTCCTGAACATAAAAACTTCTTCCTCACTGAGCTCCCCACTCACCCATGCTATCCTTCGGCCCTAAATTGGAAACTGTCACATTAATGAAATAAAAATTAAATACTCCTAATACCATCTAGTGGCTAGTGATGTAAAAAAGTATTTAAAGAAATGCAGAGGCATGAGTCTTTCAAGATTATCATAAATTGAAGGTATGTGTGTCAATTTTTCTTTTCCTTTTTTAATCATCTAAGGAATGTAGGCTGTAATCTCATACATATTTTCTTGTGAGTAATTTCAATTGAACTGAGTTGATCTTGCTTCTGAGTAGACATATATAGGATTGATCCGTAGGTCACCAAAATAAAATTCATTTTCAAGTAGAGCTAGGCAATTGCCTAGTAAGCACAGCCTAAAGAGTTCATGTCACAAGAATGACATTTCCTGATGAATTTTGCCATCTGAGTGACTAGCTTCATGGCAGCGTAAGAAACAGAAATAGGTCAGGGATAAAGAGATCAGCAGTAAAGCTATTCTTTCAAAGGCGAGAGAATGTGAATGATTTTGGGGGGCAAATAATAGGCTATAATGTACTGCATTATAATTTGCTTTGCTGTCTTTCTCCCCAGCCTAATCAGAAATTTTGTTTCATGCATGCAAAAGAATCCTACAGGCATTTGCATTTGCAAAACTCTGGGAACTGCTGGAGTCAAAAGCATAAACCAAATGTATATTACATGGAAAAGAGTGCTAGTCTGATTTTATTTTCTCCAGATTTTTGTTGCTATTTGCATACCACAATATTCTGGCTGTTAATATCCTAGTGAGCATGGATTTAAATAAATTGACTTGTGACCAGTAGCTTTCAGCAGACTGTTCCCTGATTTGATTTGCAGAAACAGTTATACACTGTTAAACCAAGCGCATCTGCTGCTACCCACCCACTGACATTTAAAACTCAGTCCCACATGCTGTGTCCATTATGTGTGTTCGTGTTTGTGTGTGCATGTGCACACATGCACACAAGCATACGAATCTTTTCACAGAAATATATGCTACTAATGGATGACACCGCACATTATAGTTGATGCAAATAAATCAGCTTAGCTGATATACCACTTCATGTTTTTGTTTTCCAGCCTTGCTTCAGTGAACAGAAGAAGACTAGTAACCTTGAGGCCTATGTAAAATGGTTCAATAGACTCTGCTATCTTGTTGCAACAGAAATTTGCATGGTAAGTCAAATATATTCAGCCTTGCTATTCCACCGGCCTGATTGTGCCACTTTGAGGCCATTCAGTAATAAATTTGTCAGGGGATTTATTTCTCCTTGATTAACCACATTATTCAATTGTTAACTTTTTTAAAAAAACTTTAACTTTGTATGCCTTTCACAGATGCACTGTGTAAAAAAATAGGGTAAAGGCAGAAACAGGCTACTGATAGAGCAGTAATTTTGTTTATAATGCGTTTTGGTAATTGTAGCTCATGCTGGGATGAAATTCTAAGGGAAATGGAGATGGCTTGTTTCTGGTCAGTAAAAAGGAGAAACATGGGGAGTTGTGTTATACCATGTCAGACCTATGGGCCATCTCACTTGCCTACTCTGAATCCAGGGTTGGGGAATTCAGAGGGGATGAGACAAACAGGGGCAGAGATGGGGGTGGGGAAGAAAAGCTGGAATCCAGAGAAGGGGCAGAAAAATGTTGGAGGGAGGCCTAATCATGCCTGCCGTAGCAATTTGTGGCTGTACTGGGACACTTTTTCAAAATGTCAGACGGGCTCAAAATGTTGCCTGCCCGATCTACGCTGACTGGAAACAGTTCTCCAGAACTTGAAGCATGATTCTTCATCAGCCCTACCTGGGGTGAGAGTGGTGGAACCTCGGGCCTTCCACATGCAAAACATGTGCTTCATCACTGGTCATTGTCTCGGATTGTAATACTGTCACAACTGTTGCTTGCCCTTTGCAGTTACCCCACCCCTGTGGGATGGTGGGAGAGGCTCTGTGTGGGGAATGGGCCCCTCAGCGTGGCTGGAGGGGGTGTGTTAAGGCAGCCGCCTGAATGAGGGACACTACTGGACGTGCTTGGTGCCACCTGTGAACAGTCACACCAGGGGATCGTGCTGTGTGAAAGGACAGCCCCTCAAACTGGAGAGGGTGCTCTGCGAGTCAGAGGCGTGCCAAACCCTGAGAGCTGAAGGATCACACTGGCAAATGGCGCTCTTAGACAGGAAGTTGCCCCAGCCAAGTTGCCCACTGAAGGGGGACCCACTTCTGCAACCTCAGGCCAAAGCTGGTCGTCCTTTCTGGGTCTCCTCTGCCATTCAGCCTCTCACCCCCGAGTCCTAGTACTTGCACCAGCCTCAAAGGAGCCCGATTAGGTCCTGGTCCTGAATAGGTCCTGGAGGAGAAACTGACCTTCTGCCCTTTTCCCCTCGGACGTATGTGATCAGCTTGTGCTGCCAGCCCAGCCTTCAAGAAGCCAAGCCACATGACTGAGGCCTTTTATAGACCTTGCCCGAGTCTCATTCCTGAACTCTTGCAAAGCTAGGAGAACCTGAGCATTTACTCAGTTCACATTCTTGTTCACAACTAGCAATGGCATCGAACCTTGTGAGAACTGCCTAAAGACCTGCAGCACCCGGGAATCATCTCAGCCACCACATGCTCTGGCAACCCTTTAGGGTATTAATGGGCAGTTCCCTCATCTGGGCCATGCCGTCCTTTCACTTGCTGCAGGCACTGTTGTGGAAGTGGGGGTTCTCATGCCATACCGACTCCATGCCATACCGACTCCGACTACAGGAAGACGGCCCTCCACTTGTTGCATGGGAGTAATTCCAGTGTTGCACTCACCACTGTCGGGGCCAAAACTAGCTTTCAGATGATAGGTTCCACTAGAGAAATAGGTTTACTCAAAGAATTTCATTGTATTTAAGGTTAAGACAGATACAGCATTTTTACAGTAGTACAGATGGGTTAGGAAGCAGCTTCTACTCTGCATTTAGTTAAACATCTTTGTTTTTTAGGGTTGGCTGGGTTGAGTTGAGGGGGGTGCTTCTGCAAGTTTGCCACAGAGGTGAGCTGCAGACAGCACTGATTTGTTGGCATGTTTGATGTTGGCAAGAAACCACCCTGTCTCACCTTTCAAACAATTTTGCACTAAAAAATACAGTATCATTGTTTTTATTATCATGTAGTAAGGAACCAAAACTAAGCTTTCATATATTTCAAAAATTAAAAAACGTGAATGGCTCACCTGAAAAAACAAGGATGGGGCAAACCAGGGTTTTGATAAATGTGTTTATCATTTATGTGGTAAAACCAGGAGGAAACCAGGCTTGGGGATGCTGTCGGTTTTTATGTTATGTCTGGTTTCATCTTTAGCCTCTGAAATGCGTTTGGAGCTAAAGAACAGAAATGACAACTTCTTATGGTGTTGTTTTAAAATCTTTCTAATCCTAAGGGCCTTTTCTTCTGCTGCTCCCCATCTCTGGAGCTCCCTCCCTAGGGAAATTCGCCTGGTGCCATCTCTATTTTCCTTTCGGTGCCAGGTGAAGACATATCTTTTTAGAATTTTTTTTTAATGTTTAGCCTGTGCGCTGTGGCCCTTTTTAATGGTTTTTATAGATACTTAATTTATTTTGTCTTAATTGGTTTTTAATGTGTTTATACCCTGTTGGTATGTTGTACACTGTAAGCTGCCTAGGAAGGCCTCAGTAATTATAACTGGCCTATAAATATATGTAAATAAATAAATAAATAATCTTAAAGCCAGACAGAACTATTATTTTTAAAAAATCAACAGACTCTGAGGTGTAAAGAAACCCTACCTTTCTGAGCTTTGCTCTTGATTGGTTCTAATATTGCCTTATCCCAAATGCTAAATGAACTCATCTAGCCTTGAAAGTTCAGAATTACGTTCCGGAGGCTACCTGCCAAAAATTGAAGTGCCATTTGCACATCTTCTGGAGCAGCCTTTTTGAATTTGGTGTCTTCCAGATGTTTTAGACTTCAGTGTGTATCAGTTCCAGGCAACATTCCAGGAATTCCAGAAATGCTTGGAATTCTAGGCTAGAACATCTGGAGGGCACCAGGTTGGAGAAGGCTGTTTTGGAGCATCTGGAAAAATCCACTGTTTGGAACAGAATTGGCAGTGGGTATTAGCCAGTGAAATCTCTTTCACAGTTCAATCATTCCACAAAGAAAAGGCAGAGTATTGAGCAAATGTAAATGGATATATACAGCCAGTATCAAGATGGGTATATTTACTCTTCTCTCCTTAATACCAAGCCCAGAAAATGTTCCAGTCATTGGCAACAAGCCCAGGAAAAGTTACAGTCATTGTCATTTTATTGACAGCTAGTCAGGCATAATATTCTTGGGATTAATAGTTTTTAGAGTATAGATTTACGTGTTCATGTTGGGTCAGTGCTTGAAGACATTTTTAAAGGTATAATAGGTTTTTGGTCACTTTCTATATTAGGAGCTTTGATTCTGCAAGCTTGTCAGCAATGAGTGTCATTAATCAAACGGCTTCTGTGGAATTTTGTAGCTGTTTTGAGATCGACTGATTGAGTTGTAGAATTGGGCATCTCCAGTGTTGAGCTCTGACATTTCACACAGTTTTTCAAACCTGTCTTCCATGGCTGTTTATCTGTCTGTTTATTTACAGCCTGCAAAAAAGAAGCAGAGGGCACAAGTCATTGAGTTCTTTATTGATGTTGCTCGCGAGTGCTTTAACATAGGGAATTTTAACTCGCTGATGGCAATCATATGTAAGTGTGTGGCATCATTTCTCTCTGATGTTGTGGATATGTAAAAGGGTTTCTGTTTCATAATGTTCTTCTTTCTTTCCAGCTGGTATGAACATGAGTCCAGTATCCAGGTTAAAGAAGACCTGGTCAAAAGTGAAAACAGCCAAATTTTTTATTCTTGAGGTAAAATGTTGAGAATTGTGAATTTCCAAGTGATACTTTTTGTCCCCTTAAACAGAAGTCATAGCCAGGGAGCCAAATGGTAAGATGAGTCCTGCACATCCTGTCAAATTTCTGAAGGAAAAGAAAAAGCAGAAAATGCCTTACCCCAAAACAGAAATACGAGGGCCTGCAGGCAAAGTGCTTTTGTGGGGTTCCCACCGGTGCTCTTCGTCCCACCATGCCTTCCCCAGGGCTTTGTTTCTGCCTTGGGCTGCGGTGGCAGCAGAATCAGCAGTCGTGGTGATGGAAGCACCGCTGCTCCCACTCATTGACTGGTCTTTGGCCTGCAAGCATGCACTGCAAGAGTAAGTGCTTTGGTGGCAGCTGGCTGATCAAGGCTGCAGCCATGCACCATCGGAAATGAAAGTTTTCCGTAAGTCTTCCTCAAAGCAGTGAGCTGAACCAGTCAGATGCAGCCTTGAGGGAGGACATGAGGCCAAGGAGCAATGAGAGAGAAAAGTGAGAGGGTAGTCTTCTCAAGACAACTCAGTGGCCAAGTGTCCTACAGAGCTACCTCTAATTAGTTCACTTTGCTGCTGATCAGGAGACCTGAGGTGCATTCAGCTCAGATCATAGAGAACAGACTTTAAAGCTCAAAGAGACTGAGTTCTGGCACTATCTTGACTGAAGTAATAACCCTCACACCGGGATTGCTTGTCATTGAAACTGCGACCTAGAGAAGCAGCTGCCATGCACCAAGCTGAACCAAGGTGAAATTGCAACTATGCTCTTCACGTTAATAGTATAGTATACACGTTATGAGTATCCTACCACTCCCATTTTTCTTTACTGATACATTTCCTTTGTTTGTTGCTTGAAAAACTGGGTGGGCTGTCAAACTGTTCCTCAGTTCAGACACATCCCTAGCATGATATGTTCGTGTCTTCCTTTATTTCTCTCTGGAGAGTAGCAGTGTGTTGAACTGCCCCTTAAGGGCAAGTATGCATCTCACAAGTATACGCACTCATGCATGGATAGACACGTACAAGAGTGTGTTGCATTTACACGACACTGTTACACATGCTTGGAAATCCCACCATTACTCTGCACGCCAACTACTGTAGAGCTACAGGGATGGTGCAAGACTGTGTGCAGACCAGGTTAGATAGTGTTAGGGATGTGTAAAGCATCCCCTGGATTCTTGCTTGCCAACCCTACACTGGCACCAACTCACTATGATGTGACTCAGGCCAGCTTTGAATTTCCATCTCTAAGACAGGCTGCATTTTGCATAAAGAATGTAAAGGTATTTTTACAGTTCATGTACCTTTACACCAACTGTATAAATCATGATATTTTGTATGTTTTACACAGACAGACACCTGAAAAGCATGTGGTTCTAGAGTGCTTTGCACAAAGCAACTGATTGTACACAAATCACACTAGAACCAGGTGCTTTGGGGGTAACCTGCATAACGTTATTCAGCTGTATCAAATTTTGCCATTTGCTCAGCTTTCCTTAAAGTAAAGGTAAAGGTTTCCCCATGACATTAAAGTCCAGTCATGTCTGACTCTTGGGGGCAGTGCTCATCCCCATTTCCTAGCCGAGGGGGCCAGCGTTTGTCCCCGGACAGTCTCCGTGGTCATGTGGCCGGCATGACTAAACACCGAAGTGCACGGAACGCTGTTACCTTTCCACCAAAGTGGTACCTATTTATCTACTTGCATTTGCATGCTTTAGCCTTTAAAAAAAACCTGTGATTCCCTCTGAGAAAATTGTGGAAACATCAGTCCCTACCACCTTGGACCACTTCAGATTGTCAGCTCAGATGCAGGCAGAAATGCCATCTAGCTCAAGCAAGCTGGACTTCCTAGCTTCAGCCTATCCCTCGAGAGGGCAGACTTGGGGGATACTGTCCTCACTCATCTATAGTTCCCATACAGAGCTTTGGTGGAAGGGTGGCATTCCTTCTCAGTGTGACCATCCTGCTATCTCTGTTGTTTCTTCCTTGACTGCTGCTGAGTGAGTTGATGGCATAGGGTAGTGGGTGCATAGGTGAGTCACACCAGTATAGTAAGACAAACACAAACAAATCAGCAGTACGTGGATAGTAGAGCAACTGCAACCAGAATGAAAATGTGATATTCACCACCATGCACTGAGTGCGTAGAAAATGTGACTCAGATAAAATGAGGAGTGGCAGTTGGTGTTTATTAGGTGAGCTGCATATGTCTGTGTGATTCAGCTGCTTGCTAACAACAAAATCATCACGAACAACAGTGAATATGGGTGTAAACAAGCCTTTGGGTCCACATATGAAACCATCCTGGGGCAGCCATAAAATGGCTACTAAAGGAGGTCACAAGGTGCCAGTTGCATCTTTAGAGGGATTCATGGGAAAATAAGATGGCAGCAGTTGGAGGTTTCCACTTCACTTTAAAGCAATTCCAGCTGCAAGTAATACACATACACAACTACATTTAGAAGTTTCTTTGGAAGACTGAAGGATTTATTTCCACATAAGTGTTATGCATCTATTAAGTCTAAAGAAAAAAGATTAAAAGAGAGAGAAGCAAGCATTAGTGCTGAAAAAGAGATGCTGGGATATTTTCTAGTCTGTTCTAATGTATCATTTCCCCTGTTGCTTATATAAGCCTGATGGAACAAAAATCATTTGGACAGTTCTTGATATGGACACTTACCCATGATCCTTTTTCCCCCCTGCCTCTAGCATCAAATGGACCCTACTGGTAATTTTTATAACTACAGAACTGCATTGCGGGGAGCTGCCCACCGGTCCCTGACAGCACACAGTAACAGGGAAAAGGTATTTTAGTTGTTGTTGTTGTTTTTATATGCTGTCTTTCCTCCAAGGAGCTCAAGGCAGCAGTGTACATGTTGCAACACCTATTATATCCTCACAACAACACTATCAGGTAGGTTAGCAGTTGTAGATGGTGGCTGTAGGAGTTCACCTGTGGTTAACCAGGGTCCTGTACCAGGACATCCCCTGTACCAGGACATCCCCAATCCTACTTGAGCACTGTAAGCCCCATAACCATAACCATGCTAGCTATCTAGTTTGAAGCAATAATACCATGCATTCATGGACCTCTCCCCTGTCCAGCCCCAAATTTTCAGAGTTGAGTTGTTGCAGGAAAAAAAAGCTTCCTGGATTACCAGTGTCCATACACATGAGAATGAGAGAAGCTGTAAATAGCAAGGTAAGAGACAATCAAATGCAGGAAAAGTACAGCTGCAGTCATCTTATGAACACTGGCCATTTCCAGAACCGTTACTGGTGACAGCGCAGGCACTGCTGCAACTGTGAGCTAATGAGTGTGTGTCGTATGATTTCAAACAAACAAACAAACATAACGTTTGTTCCTGTTTAAGCAATAAGAGGTTGTGGTGAACCACTCAACGAATTATAATGCATCTGCTTCACCTTGCAATCCGTCTCTGAGGTTCTTTTGTTCAAGAATGGCCATCTTAAGTGTCCTGGAAAGTGTAACTACTGTTTTTTGAATATTCTCATTAATGATGTCAAATTAGTGTCCGCTTGTTCTTGTGTAGACATGGTAGCCTGTTTGTTCTCGACAGAATGTGGTTGGGCATTGGTGGAAAATGACATGTATCTCATTTATTTATATTTTTATTTTATCTCTGTGCTGCTCAATAGCTGAAGCTCTATTACTCATACAAATATAAAAGATACAATGAAAATACAAAAACAATAAAAGACAATATAGCATTCCAGTATGCAAATATAAAATACCGTATTTTTCGCTCTATAAGACGCACCTGACCATAAGACGCACCTAGTTTTTAGAGGAGGAAAACAAGAAAAAAAATTCTGAATCAAATGGTTTACTAAACTATTTAATAAATTACAACAATACAGTAATACCATATTTCAACCTTGTAAAGTGAACAGCAGTCAACTGTGGCATTAAGAACCATCATCACTGTCATTAACAAAAGAGAGACTTTAAAGTTTGAGTACTCTTCTAGTTTTCGTTGAACCCATAGAACCCATCATCACTAGAGTCAGAATTTATGAAGCTCTGTTGCTCACAATCACTGACATCACTTTCTTAGTCAGTAGTGGAATTATTGAAGGAATCCACAATCTACACCAGTTATACAAGAGCTGCTGCAGACAATTCAATAACAAATCTAAAAAAGCCAGTAATGTCCACGCTGCCCTACTAGTAAATCATAGAATAAAACTTGTGACAAAAAATGAGATATTGTACGGTAAATCAAACACACAGCAGACTAAGTAGCCTTTGAAGAATAAACTTCATACACGAAGGTAATGCTGTTCAAATATCCACTGATCCTAAAAAAAATGTGTCTGATGAACTAACAGATAACTGATCCATGGAAAGCTTCCTGATAATCACAGGCACATTCCCCATCACTTCCCCATGGGCTTCATTAAAAGACAGGTTGCCATTTGAAAACACACACCAACCTGTGATTAATAGCTCTCACCTGCGCTGGAGGAGGGGGGCGGAGCAGGGCACGCTGAGCGTGTGCCAGCCAGGTGGTGCCACGTGGGGCCGGCAGCATGCTGGCGGTGGTCTTCCGGGTGGCGCAGCAGTAGCGGCAGGTCTTCCCAGGCAGTGGGGGTGAGCAGTTCCCGGGCGGTGGGGGTGAGCAGTCCATCTCTCCATGCAGCCGGCGGGTTAAAGCCCGTGGCTCCTCCTCCTCCTCTGCACCTCTCCCCCTGAGCAGCACAGCTCTCACCTGTACCAGAGGGGGGCGGGTGGAGCAGGGCACGCCGAGCGGGTGCCGGCCAGGTGGTGCCACGTGGTGCAGGCGGGCCAGCAGCATCCCAGGCATTGGGCACACACACATTCGCTCTATAAGACGCACAGACATTTCCCCTTACTTTTGAGGGGGAAAAAGTGCGTCTTATAGAGCGAAAAATATGGTAGCTAAAAATTCCAGCATACAAAAAATAAAACAATTTAACATTTAAAATATTTTCATTAAAACCAGATTTTAAAACAGCAGATATAATCCATCATGTGCCATTAAATGCCTTTATATGCATGGGAATAGAGGACAGCTTTAACCTGATGTTGAAAATATGTCATTGTTGGCACCAGGTGGACCTCAGTGAGGAGTCCACTTCACAACTGGGAGATACCACTAAAAAAACCTTTCTCCTTGTTGCCTCTTTCTGCACATCCCTTGGAGGTGGCAATTGGAAGATGGTTCCTGATATAGAGCATGGGATCTGGCCAGACTGAGGTTGGGAGGGGTGTTCCAACAGGTTTTGAGGACCCAATCTGTATAGGACTTTACAGGGTAAAACCAGCAGCTTGAATTGTGCTCAGAAGCATAGAGGCAACCAATCCAAGTGGGCCAGAGTTGGTAATATATGTTCAAACATTCTGGCCCAGTTATTAAACTGACGCATTTTGCACAAGGTGCAGCTTCCAAACAGTCTTCAGGGGCAGCCCCATGTAGAGTGCACTGCAGTGATTTAATTTGGCGATCACCAGCATATAGATTATTGAAACCAGGCTATCCATGTCCAGACAGGGGCATAGCTGGGCCACCAGCCAAAGCTGCTAGATGGTTTTAAGTGGCTCCTGTTGAGTGGCAAGTAGCATTCTGTTCTTTTCTCTTTTGGGACCATCCTGTAATAGAATATTCCTGGGTGTCAGGTTGTGTAGTTCACTTTGGTATTCTCCAGTGGGAATCCAAAATTGGGGGCCAGTAAAAAGTGGTGTTGGAAAGTTCCCTCTTGGCTATCTGTATGTAGTCCAACAACAACTCTACTCTAATTCTCTTTATGATTTCAAAACCGTTTGTCAAAACTGTGTACTAAGCTATGCTGTTTGCTCATAACCTCAACTTGGGCTCATTGGTGGAACTGTTCTACGCAAACCTCTTGTCCAGTGTCACAAGCATCTGGAGAAGTCCATGCAAAATTCTTCATGTTGCATTGGGAAGGTGTTATGTATCAGTGCACTATCCAGAGGTGTGTTAGAAAGGTGATAGTTGCGTTTTGGTGCCTGCTTAGTATCATAGTAGGAATGTTCTTCAAGTGCAGTACCTTGTGAAATAGCATATAAAACGGCACACTTCGTAGAATGAATTGTGGAATAGCTTGCAAGATGCCTTGTGCAATAGCATGTTCAAATGAAATGAAAATATTTGATTTGACAGTTGGACACGAATGAAAATGATGTTTCTGCAAGCAATCAAGCATTAGTGGAATGATCTCATTGGATACAGCTCCATATTAACTATGGATATAAATAGTGAATGAGGGGAAGCTGAAGCCTATGAGTTTGTTTTAGGCATATGGGATGTGATGAAATAGTATTTTCGATCCCTTAAATAAAAAATGGGAGATGATAACCGTTATGTATCTGCAAGACTCTCACGGAGAGACATACACCAGAAAACAATAATGGTTGTTCTGTCAAGATAATCCATACAATGTTAATTATATCAAAATCAAGAAAAATGTCTACTTACATTAAAATTAAGAAGACATGCCCTTCGTTTTCTCTTTGCTCCAAGCTGTGAGAAGAGTAATCTAAAGATTGAGGGGTCTACATAAGCCTATTGTCATGGCCAGACCATTTCCTGGTGAGATTTGAGAGGATTGCTTCTCTCCTGCAGAGGTGAGGGACCCATTGAAATAGTTCACCTCAGAAGCCTGGGGAATGGGATACAGTAGAGTTCCAGATTCTCTTGGGGATTTTCCAGTGGAAAGAGTGGTGAGGGAATTGGGGCTTTAGTGGGATGCGGAGCTTGATGCTGTCCGAGTGCCTTCCCCCACTGTACAGCCCTCTCTGCTCTTTGGTATAGTGCAGAGCTGTGGACAGTGAAAATGTCTGGATGTTGACGAGAGTACAAATGGGGTAGGGCTGGAAGTGAAGATGATCGAGCACACTCTGGAGCACGTGCCTATGGCTTACTGCACTGCTTCCACTACTTCCTCAAGTAGCTGTCCCAGGGAGTTTTCTTGGGTGGGCCTGGAGTTGCCATCACTCTCCCCAGCAAATGGGGCCCTCGTCCCCTCAGGGACTCGCTGTGACCTTTTTGCATTGCACTTTGAGGACCAAGATGTCAGCACAGCTTCAGCTGAGGTGACCAATTTTGTGGGGTCAGTTTTAGTCGTCAAAGGGGTATGACTGGGTGGGTCTGGGGAGAGGTAAATACATCTTTGCATGAAGGGCTGGTTCTTGCTATCCTCTAGGAGTCTGCAAGTGTGATCATTCCTGAAAAGAGTCACTCTGGACCCAGAGGTATTTGACAACTACCATCCAGTCACAAAATCTTCTTTCTTAGGGAAGGTAAGAGGGTCATGGTGGAGTATCTGCAGACACACTCGGAGGATACTGTTTATCTGCACACATTCCAGTCTGGAATTAGCCACTCTGATGGATGACCTTTATCAGGAGAGGGATAGATTAAGAGCAACCCTGTTAATTCATTTCCTCTGTTGTTGGCTTTTGATACCTTTGACCATGGTATTTTCCTGGATCAACTCCATGTGCTAGATATTGGGGGCACCATGTTACAGAAGTTTCAGTCTTACCTGAGGGTTTATTTCAGAGTGTAACATTGGATAACTACTCCTCAGTGGCTCCTCTGACAATTGAGTAACACGGAGTACCATCTCATCCTCAATATTATCAAACATCTATATGAAGCCACTGGAAGTGGTTATCAGGAGTGTTGAAGCCAAGCTCTGTCTCCCTATGACAAATGAATCAGGTGAGGATGTGCAAGTCCTGGATCAGTGCCTAGAATCAGAGATGGGCTGGATGATGGCCAATAAACTGAGGCAGA